GTACTTCAAGTCCGGTGCAAAAACGCATGATCGCACGGGCCCGTCCGGTGCGTTCCAGCCTAGGTTTGTTAATTCACTTTTTCCAATTCGCGTTTTATGCCATGACGGATCTTGCTTTGGTTATTGATACAAAGGAGGAGATGGTGACAAGTGAGGCTGTTTGCAAGAAATTTTCCATTTACTCACTTTGCCAGTAGGGGAACGAGTCCCCTTACGTTCCATTCATTAGGTTCCTCACTGAATTGGTATTAGCGCGTTCTGAAGGATCAAAATAGTAGGTTTACATGTAAGTAACAAATGAGGGAAGGAGTCACCGATAGCCAGAAATACAGGAATAGCCGAGTAACACCAAAACTGCCAACTACTAAAACTCTGCTCATCTTGGCTGTGCTCGGTTGAGTCGAGAGGCGAGTTGTAATGACTGGGGAGTAAGAGGCAGGACCTGAAGGCGTTGTGGAGGGGGGCGGGGGCCAGGACAGTGTTTTAGATCTCAGGGATCGTGGCGAAAGGGAGAGGGCGGGGTTGATTGGAAGTGAGCTGAGGCCCTGCGTGGAAGTAGAAAATGGAAACAGGATCGAGGGGAGGAGCCCGTGTTAGTTTTTTATACACATTTAGCAGTCTTAATTACGACATCTAGAACTTCACCTGGACAAAAAATTCGGTGTCACGATTTCCGCAGCTTGAACCTGAACCCGAAAATGAATGCATTTGCGTGACCGAGCCGAGTCAAGTTTTAGTAGTTGTACCAAAGTTAGCACTGGCCGACGGGATGAAAAAAAGTCACGCGACGGAATCAAAAAAGTACAGCATTTTGAGTTAAAAAGAGATTTAAAAATTTATTCAAAGGAATATGTCGTTTATTCAAAACTGACTGGTACTGAACTGTTTAATGCGGCGAAGTCTGGGGAACGGGAAAAGGATGTCATTTGAATGCACTCAGTTATCGTGCATCTTTCCTTTCGTCAAAAACTGACTATGCCACTGCTTCGAGCAAATTTGATCACTTGATGGTGAGGGAGGGTTAACGTGGAGACAAGTAGGAAGGTTTTATTACTTCGCTTTTGGCATTTGGTCTAAATGAAGGGCTAGCTGCCATTCCATTTGAACAACCAGTTGGCCGCTTTATGCTTTCGTGTCAAAAGTGGGACACTGTAGTCTCGAATAACCTTGACAATATCCACTTCATCCCGAAATATGTAGTCAGTAGAAAATTTTTTCCAGATGTCAAGCGCCAAGTCTTGTGCACTTTTTAGAAGATCCAAATAGCGCAATTGTGAAGACTTCAAACAGTCGAACACTAGCAGTCCTCGATGCGGATATTTAGTGGGAAGCTTCGTGATGCGAAACTTATGGGAGGATAAGGGAGTGCGAATAGTCCAAGATATTGCTTAGGAAAAAGTAAATATTATAATCCCATCATTTTAGAGTAGAGGAAGTTTTATGATCGTTCAAATCGGGCACCGATGCAGACATACACAAACATGCATGAACATACACAGGCATAATGCGCACGAACAGACTGACAAACAGGTATGCCAAATACGACAGCATTTCCTCTGGATAGCTTCACAAAACAACGATGCCACCAGCAGCATTATCAGCCATCATCGGGAGCACCATTATCATTGCCTCCACTATCATCCATCAGCTCATAATTTGCCACATAATTTGTCTGCTTGTCCTTAATCATTAATCTCGCCACTATCAGTCCACTGTGCTCATCATCAACCGCGGGGTTAGGCAGATTTTTTGTGTGTTTATGCTGCTTACTCTCCTTTGACCTTATTAATTATTTCACTCGCTGCATTGTTTGCTTTCCTTTATCGCAATTCTCTGATAAATCGATCCTCTTTCTGCAGGTGCTCGTCAGGTCGTCCTAGACGCAGCAGAAATCGAAGTGGCGATGAGTCGTAGTGAGATAGCAGTCCAGGCGCACAAGGGCGCAGGAATAGCTACCGTATGATCTGGTTTCAGTTGTCTGCATAAGATTTTTGGCAGAAAAGAGTCATTTTTAGTTCTTAAAAGAGCATAGGGTTGATATCTTTTGTTTGTCAATTAGCACTTCGTTAGTTTTGCTGTCCATTAGCTGCTGTTCCACGCCGTGTCCCTGTTTGGCATCCATGTGGTCGGAGTAATTTGTTCATTTTGTTTCTCCCTAGTCTCGTGATATGCATCGAATTCGAACGAATTGTTCCGTTATTGGCGGTTTTCCCAGTGTTGGTTTGAAATTTTGGTAATAAAAAATTAAAACAAATAAAAATGTGGAAAATTAACTTCTTGAATAAGCACATATTTCGTAACCGCCCAAAAATGAGGGCCTTTCATTTTCCCCCTCCCCTCCCTCTCTCCTCACGGCTTGTCCTCCGCCCCTTCTCTTCCCCTTCGACTCTCGTGCATTATTATCATCATTCTTGCTAGACCGTCAGGCATAATCAGACTCTAATTTGTCATAATTTTTTAAGGTCAGGCCAATTCATGAATTGTTATCACAATTATCAATTCCCTCTGTGTCATTAATGTCGGCGTTTGTGACGAGTGTGTACGCATGTGCACTCGCGTATCTTTCCGAGGCTATATATAGCAGCTTTCACCTTCATTTCATTTTTCCACTCTTCTTCCTTCAACTTCTCCTGCGTCTTCCAAAAATTCTGTTCCAATCCGCACTTGGAACCGGTTATGATTTTGTGTCGCTTGCGGTGCGCCTCTTGCTGCTGTCGCGCTTATCTCTACCTTTTTTGGTTGTTTAATGGTCTGAAGGCAATGAAAAAGCCCTCTCACTCCTTTCCGCACATCTCCGCTCTCCTTTAGCCATCATCTTTGAGGAGCTTCTTCAGCCTTTTCCAAAATACGTTTCTTCTCTTCCCATGATGGGAGAAGCGGCGGTAGCGCAACAACAACAACAACAACAACAACTTCACCACCAGCAACAACACTAAATGATTCCTTCACTTTCACTCGAATACCTTTCTCATTTTCCTTTCTATTAAAAAGTAAAAGTTTGGCAAGGCTTCTAGTTCCAAAATGTCTCCATCTCTTCGACGTCTTCAGTAGTAACTGTTGCTACTTTTGCGCTTCAGCTGATACAAACTACGCGTAGTTGGAAAACTCGCTGCCAAAGCTAATTCGTTTTGACAGTGAATTGTCTTGTTTGGCATGTCAAAGGCCTAAAACCACCTAACTTGCTCTTCAATCAGTGCTTGAAACAGAAAGTTGTCGATAGTTTTACTTGCTGTTGTCATTTGGATTTCCTTCTGTCCTTCAGAGTGACAGGCGAAACTCTTTTGAGTAAATATTAGATCGGCACGGGAGTGATTAAGATTCTCTGGAGGAAGCGGTCCTGAAAAATTTATCTTTTTAAAGGAAATGGCCATTCAGCAGTGCTAATGCGAAAGAATTGTGAATTTTACTTTAAGCGGGCTTATTCTCAGCGTATGGTGAAAAGTCTGGATTTTTTTAAAACATCTCTGTCGCAGTTTAATCTCTGATCAGCTTCTTGACATGCATTGATGTGTTTTGCAACTCGGATTGTCTTCGCAGTTCCTCCTTCTCAAGAAAAAAATTTGAGTAGCTATTTAAGTCATTGAAATTCCCAAAAAGTTTATAATAATATCAGACTTTTAGCTCATGTTAAACCGCAATATTATTAGATGCTATGCATGTCCACAACACCGACTGCCCGTGCTATATTAGTTAACTCACTAATTAGTTATCCAGGATTCCGAAGATAAGTGGAGCTATTACTCAGCCTATGTTCAGAATATTCGGAATGTTCGAAAAACTTTCAAACAAATTTGCGTTCGTAATGTTTGTTCTGAATGGCAGTTTAAATTCGCTGATATTTATAGCGCCTGCCGCTCTCTGCTTGGAGGATTTGTTGTGACTAATCATAGACATATTTTATTCAAATTAGTTCTTAAAGAGAGGATATGAATTAATATTTGTTACTTCTTTCACGCCACTTGATGGGTGTGTTATGCGTTTCTGGGTCTTATACATGGTTGTTTGGCCCTCTGCTTCACACTGTTAGTGCTGGCCAGTTAACATTGGCTTTTAACAGTCACGCTTAACCAGACTATATACAGCGCAGCGTGTTTTGGCATGTCTGAAACAACGTTATTCCAGCAGCATCATTACCTGCTGCAATTCCGCATCGCAACGAGATCTCCTTTCCGTCTATCTCGATCAGTTGCAGCAGGAAGTGTACCCTGCTGGCCCTGTGGCCAGGAAGACTTATTGTTGCATGTGTTTTTGAGAAATTGAGAAAAATCGGTCGTTTTTGGAAATCCGAAAATCGACATTCTCTGAAATTCTCCGCCGATTGCTTTGTGTCAGGCGGAGTACCGTAGAACATTTTTGCATTCCAAGCATTTTGTTGCGGATAAAGTCGGAATCCAACATGAAATTGCAATGCCACACTTGTCTCCGCTACTAACGCAGCTGTTTCTTTTCAAGTTGAACGGTATGTCAGAGGACTGGAACTGAACTGCCAGCAATACAGTACACAGGTGGATTAACGCAAGCTTCGCGAGTGATACGGTAGTGGTTAGTAATAGTAATAGCAGCAGCAGCATCAGCAGCTGATGTGAGCAGTGCGCCCTATCCGCAAGGCTATTGGAAAGCCGTTAGCAATCTCTCCGTTTGCCCCTTCTCTGCTCGCATTGCCGCCCCGCGATTACTCTCTCGGCTCCGCGAAACCAGTGTTTGGAGGCGGGGCGTGGCCTCTTAATCATATCCATTCGCCCCGGGCCGCATGCATGAGGCAGTTGGCTGTGGGCGGGCTAGCTCCGGAGTGTTGCTGGTGCTGTTGGCTCGATATGCTTATATACTTGCCGATCTGTTTGCCTGGTACTCTTGCTTCTGCTGTTGCTGCTGCTCCATCCGGCCGGATTCGAGTGTGCAGCCGGCTGAACCGAAGAGCAGGCTGCAGGAAGGCGCGGGACCACGACCTGTTGGTGCTGCAGCATCCTTGCGGCCATCTCGGGCCCAGTCCCATACCTCCCCTCTTTGTATTTGCTCGGCTTTGTATGGAACTTCGCCGTTCTCATATGGCCTGCATTTCATATGGCTGACCTGCTTCTCCTGCTGCTGCTGCTACTGAGTGGTACCACTGTGGAGCGGTCGAATCGGGATGTGGTTGAGCAAACTCCTCTGGGCAAGATGTTGATCCGTCGCAACAACTGACTATTACTGGCAAACCTAGCATGTATCAGGAAATCGGCGCGCCTTTATTTATCAGCAGCCTTGTGATGCTGCTGTCACTGAGTAACCGAAGGGAATTTTTTTGGTTTTGTTTGAGAGTTATGCTAGAAAGGATAATCAGTACAGGCAGCTTGGATGACATATCTCTCGATGGCAATTTATGTTCCGTACGTATATTCGCATTGATCTGCGCTTTTATCGTGTGCGATGGTGGCATGGGGTTGCTGGATGTTGTTAAAATCAGTTCATCAGGTTGCGTAGAAGCGAGATGTGAGCAGTGAAAGCGCCTCTTGAAAAAAA